AAGTGCTCCTGCCCAAGAAAAAGGGGGGATGATGACCTTTCATCAGTGATTTTATAACTTCAGGTCCATAGTGTTTTCTCCAGCTGAAGTTGCTTAACGAACCTGGGTGGGCCATAATTTCAGTTTGCTGAAAGTGACTATTTGCTAAAATAAATGAATCAAATCATTTATTGGCTGCCCACCAGACACCTGGAAAAATCTGCTTCTTAGGCTGCCACAGCAACTCTTTTGGCTCATAAGTACTTGACCTACAGCTCAACACCTTTTTTGCCATAACTTTGTGCAACTTTTGCTCTGGCTAATAGCTACGTTAACTACCCTCCAGAGAGCATCCTGCAGTTGTTCGGTTTCAGGCTCCCTCTTTGCAAAAGACGTAAAAAATACCCCTGAGTTGCAGAGCTGCTACAGGTAGGAGCTCTGTAGCTCTGTGGTATGCAGTTCCTGGTTGGAGAGGCTTCTTCACTGACCTGTGGTGTGTGAATGCATTTGACAGCAGGCAATACAGAATGAGAACTCTGGAATGGCAGAACCTCATGGTCTGTGCTTGGCCTTGCACTTCTTGGAAGAAACCATATCAGTGACCAGTCTCTTGTTCACTGCAAAGAATTTAAAAAATTCAAAAGTGCTGGAAAGGATATTTAGCAGTCACCTGGCCATTTCATCCATCTCCGAAGGAAAACTAACATTGATGGTTTAAGCTAGGGTGAAGTTTGTATGGTGGATATCATATATAAAACTGCAACACCTATTTCAAATTAACTTTTGATTCTTACTAAGAATAATGACCCTGTATCCCCAGCCTGCCTTTTGAAGAGTTAGGCTCCAGTCCTCTCTCATGCTTCGATCTCTTCCTTTCCCTGACTGCCTGGTTCTTGAGACCATCCATACACACTGTTTCAGCATCATTAAACTACCAGCAAGCAGATGTCAGCTTGATAGCAGTCTCTGGACATGAGTTTGTGAAGAAGAAAGGGTTGATATGGAAAGGTTTTCTGTGGGTGAGGGATTACTGAAACAACTAGTAAGTGCTACTTGAGAACGGTGTCTCTCAGATACTATGTCACGGTCATATTTTTCAGGTTTTGCTCTTCCCTCACAACTCTTTAGAATACACACTGGGAAGTCAGAAAGTCTCAGACTTATCTGAACCAAATACATTTCAGATGCTTTTATAAATAGATTTGTAATTTTTTCAGAAGTGCATCTTGCAGAAGTTCAGATATCTGGACAGTGATATGAACCACTGTAGTACCTGTCAGCTGGAGAACACTTCCTTAGTCTCATATAGCTGTATCTTTCTGTACCAGTTTTCCACATAAAGGCATACATTCAGCTGCCATAGGTGTGGATGTGAAGTTGGAATGCCTCCAGGTCAGATGCCTTCTGCCGAAATAATTGGGAAAGCAAACACAATCTTGTTTGACTAACTTTCATAATTGGATACATATAACACAAGATGAAGTTTTAATCTGGCCATATGGTATTGCTGCTGCTAGCAACCGGATAAGGTCCTATCCTTCTGACCCTGTTTAGCTAGTCTCTCCTGTGCCCATTATAAGCTAGGTTTTTCCCTCTCACCTTGAGTCCCAAAAGTTGCTGGAAGATGCCATCACCCCAAATGATGGTAACCAAGAAATGGCACTGGTCATTGTGGGAAGACTGGAGGGTTACTTCCTAGTCATGTCCTATTTCAACAGTGAGACATACCATATGTATATAGTATTTTTTTTGTGTCTGCATACTTTGTAGCAATCTTAACTGCTGTTTTAGAAACTGACTCAGTTGGGGAGTTGTAGACGCCTTGACATTTGCATTGGTGCTATTCAATTTTTCTGTGCAGTAATACAATATTTTCAGTTGTTTCTTTACCTGAATCATCAAGATAAAGCATTTTCATGTGCCTATCAGGCTTACAGCCTCCTGGGGCCCATGGGCTCATGCTCCATAGGACGCACAGCTGTGGCTGATATGAGAAGGATTTGCACAGCTAGCGTAAGGCAACACTGCAGCAATCACAAGTGGCCCCTCTTTAACTCCACCACATCGCACTTCTACTCAAAGTGTTTCTCTACCTCACTGCATGTGATAGCTTTTGCTGTGGTACAACAGGAACAGCAGAGCCACAAAAAGCTGTGTGGATCTAAGGGGCCAGCCGGTTCTGCACTCCCTCACTTGGCTTTATCAGTGGAAATTCCTTCCTCGCTGATCGAATGACGGGGGGAAAATTATCTCTTTTTAAAACAGTTCACATTTCTTGGGATTCAGTTTCAAATTGGCATTCTTAAGCTTATCACAGACCATTTGTAAATGACTAGTTCCTGACCGAAAGATTTAGCATGTACCAGATTTGTTATCCGTTTAGGACAAACAGCCTGAAAGAGGCACATGCCATACAGTACATTCTCCATGAGCCATTTAAAGGTAGCAAGATCACTGCATAATCTAGAGAACATTATTTAAAATTGACAGAACCTTTACCCTACCATAAAAGCAGCCTTCTTCTAGGGCATTTGGATTTACTTCCCTCTTCATCTACCCACCTAAGGTCAGTGTAGAAATCCAGCCAACCTTTCTGTAACATCAAAAGTATCCAAGCACTAGTTAAACGTCTCTCTGATCCAGTGTGGTTCAGGCACAAAAGCTGCACATGGTCTCATCTTCCTGAACAGAGCGAGAATCAAATGACAGGCAGCAATTGCTTGGATCACTATTTAAATCCCCTTCTCTCTTCCATTCAGTCAGGGTCATGAGCCCAGTAGTTGTTCAGGCTTGTCCTTGGCTTCTTGCTCTCTGCCTCAGTGGTATTTGTCTGTTGTGTCTCTCTGGCCTTTTAAATTTTTTTCTACTACAGCGATATACAACCCTACCAATATGTGCCCTGTCTTGAATACCGATATGTCTGTGTGATTTGGATGTAGGCTGCTTATGCTATAGCTTTACAGCACCATAGAAAATCTTCATTACTTGTCGTGTTTTCCTTGATGAAAGCCTACTACTGTAGCTGACAAAGTTGGCCAGCCTGATCCCACTCAGTGGTAGTAGGGGCTACATAAAACAGAGGATAGAAATCTCTTAAAGTAACTACTTTATCTTCTATCGTCCCCATAGTACTCATGGCTTTCTTTCTACAGCAAATTGTGGCAGAAGCATATGAATAGTTAGAGAATCGGTTCTTTCTGCCAAATTTCATTCAATCTTCTCTGAAAGGGAAAACAACTGAGCTATGTGCTTGAACATCTTCATACCTGTTTTGCATTGTTGCACATCATGGCCAGCTGGAGTTAAAATCTTTCAGTTAAAATATACAGCACTGGCAGTGCACAGAAAATTTTTCTGAGCTGATCATACTGTTGTATAGTCACAGTGATACAACATACTGATAGTATTACAGCGTAGTGCTACTGAACCAGTTTGTGACCTTGAAACCAAGAGAGTCGTTGTTTGGCTACTGCTCCTTCAATGCACTCATCGAAACTGTAAAATTGTGAAGGCAAGTTGGCATGTGTCCTACTAAGCAGGCAGCTGCCCAAGGACAACCTGCTGCCTGTGTGCTGAGCTGCTGGTAGTTTAGGTGTGGGCAGCTGTTTCACTTTCACTGTCCTCTGTGTGTGAATCTGAGCAAGAAGAAAAACTGGAAGAAATTGCCTCGCCTTTTGCCACCTCTTTACCTTAAAGAGCAGCTGCTATCTGTAGCAAGTTGTAACCACTGTTAGTCAAAATCCTGTCATGTTTTGTTTGCAGGAGGCAAATGACTGACATTTTCCTTTGACAGAACAACTGACTTGGTCACCAGATTTGTCTGGGCTTGTTGCAGCTATTTGGGTATCTAGGGAGAGGTCCAAAACCATACCAGTCCTGAATCTCCTGGGGGAGCAGGGTAAAGTGTTTCCATCCAGGACTGTATAAGCTTCTCTGGAGCTCTCTGTGCCATACCAAGGCGTAGAGGCAGGCAGAGCCTGTACCCCAGGATTTCTGTACATTAGAGCCATCTCCTCAACATCTCTAGCTTTCTCTTTCAATAGCACTGCAGGATGAAGGGAGAAGTGTTTTTCCATGTTTCTGTCCTCCCATCCCATTGCTGAGTTTCTCGACAGCTGTGCCTAATCTCTCCCAGGGCTACCTACTGTGAGATGCTCTGTGGTCCTGTTCCCAGGGCATCCAGACAGGGACTGGCTCTGTCTGGTTCCCTTCTACTGTGCCTTTCCACTCAGGAGACGAGGGAGGAGGCAAGGAGGATGGGGCTGATGCCCATGTCTGTTGCCCGTACGGTGTCAAGACACAGCACGTGGAAACCTGGGAGCTCCAAGTCACCCAGCTCCCAGCTTGGGAGGGGCAGGCAGAGCGGCCCCAGTCCTTTCTCCAGCAGCATAGTGGCAGAGGGACTTGGGACCAAGAGTTGTTTTTGTGCTGCCTGTACTCCTGCAGTAGACTGAATTGCAGCAGTGGGACTCATCTGCCCCCTCTGCCTGAATTTGCCTTTATTTTTGTATCTTTTCAGAGGAGATAATAGATTTTTCCCCCTCAGAACTCACTGAAGCTATATATATGGCATAGCTGGGCTATGTAACAGGTGTATTTCTACATGCCAGGCAGTCTTGCCACTTTATTAGAAAGAGACTGAGATTTCCAGGTAGGTTTTTTAAATTTTATTTTTTCCTAAGAAAAGAGACAGTAAGTACTGTATGTCTTGTTTACAGTAACGGCTGCCACATGTTCTTCTTTTGAGAAGATTTAGAAATAAGACAAAAATAACCAAGACAACCCCTAACCCAAGCTACAGAATCCCAACTAATAACATTGAAAAAGAAGCTGGTAATATTGATCCCTTGTGTACTGGTAGTTAAATTTCAAAAATCAATGGAGAGGGAAGCTTAACTGGCCTTTCTGTAGTGTCAGAATGCAAAGCTAAACCCCAAATGTAGAATTTTTACAGCTGTAAATATAGGGGACAATTTTCAGACAATGTTAAAATTACTGCTTAATTCTCTTTCCTTCAGGAGAAAGCTCCTATGAGGTGCACTTGGAAAGAAATCCCTGACTGTACTAGATACACTTCTGTGCGAACCAAGAAGTAGCTTTTCAGAGTGGTATGTGGAAGAAGTGAGACCAGCTTGATCAGCAAGGACCCCAGTTCTGCCATCACTTATGCCTTGAGTAACTTGAAACATTTGTCCTGTTTGTTCAGGCAAATTCATCCCTCAAAATATAAAGCTATTCCTGCACATAAGTGCTGGCAGGATCTGGGATCAGCAACTACACAAACATTGCTCTGGCAGTGGTCTCCTGAATGTTTGTAGAAAAAATATTAGGCCTTGGTCCTCTAAGGTACCTAGGTAAGAAATCCACATTGCTAAATATCTCTGAGGTTCTGAGTGCCTAGAATGAGTGCCTGGTATTTTTAACAAAGTAAGACTTCAAGGGCCTTGCTGTGCTTCTAGCCATGTTCGTATTTCCTCCTTGTTTACTTTTAGCCATTCAATGTTGTTCTTCACCTGCTCAATTGACTGACTCCTGGGCAATTCTCCTGCCCCAGCATTAGGATACTTCTCAAAGAAATTTTCCATCTGGAAAAGAGAGAGAAAAAGAATTGACATGAAGCAAATAAGGCTGCTATTGGGCAAGTGGCTTTTTACAGGGACCTGGTCAAGGGCAGTTTTGGCTGGGAGTGATATTTAAGCTCAGGCTGGTAGCACTGGGATAGTTCTACAGTCACTCATACTGCTTTACACATTTAGAGGATAAAAAGTCAAGTTTCCTGGCCAGTAGATTGTTAAATATATTGACTTAAAACCAGGAGAAGTGCTGTCACCATACCTGCCAAAGCTGGAGCTCGGTGTTGAATGTTTGGGTGATAGTTACTAATCGACCAAGGTTTCTGTCATTGATAGTGTATCTAGAAAAACAATTTAATAAATTATGTTTGATGCAATACTGTTAAAAAAAGAAAAGGCACAAGTAATTATCTGAAGCTTGAACTTCTAACTGTGCTACAATAAAACATATGCACTCGGATTTCAGCATTTTTAGAAATACTTGAAAAATAATATTCCTATACAATATCTGTGCTGTTCTCAAATATGTTTACTAATGGAGTGATCTCTTCTGGGCGAGGGTTGGGGTTTTTTTAATTAGTGACTTATTGTCTCATGCTGGAAATTGGGTGTATTGCTGCTCAGCAATACAAATGCTGTCCAGTTCGCAGCTCAAGGCTTGCAGGTATGCTCTGCTTCTGTGCCCTCACCAAGCGTTTAGAAAGGAGAAGGAAGGAGAGAGAAGTCACTCAAATAGGGAGGAGCAAACCTAAAAGGTTTGCTATTACTTCCACTGCTTGTCTGTACATCTGCTGCTTGCTGTTACCACTAGAAGGAATGAAAAAAATTCTATACGCTGTCTTCTTGTTATGAAATCAATAGAAAGAGTGGATACATGACTGACTAATTTCCATGCAATAACCAAATTTCTATAGCCTTGGTAGAACTTTCTATACTTTTTAGCCACCGTTTATTGGTAGTGATCATTTAGGGAAAGAATGATTTTCAAGTCAGCAGCAAAGTACTTTTTCACAGTAGCTGGATATAATTGCGTTGAATACACTTTCAGTTTTCATTATGCAAAGTCCAGTGATTATAGCTGTATAGTGAAAATACAGAAGAGCATGGCATATAACAAGATATACAAATATATGTAGACCTAAAGTTTCCAATGAGTTCATTAGCGTACCTGTCAACTAAGTACTGCCAGTTAAGTCGTATCCAGTCCCAGGCCATTGTTTTCCCATAGGTGTTATACGAGATGTATTTAAGGACTGTGAACACGTCTTGGCTTTTGATGAGGCTGGTGTTGTAAATATATTTCAGATACCTAAGGGAAATGCCATAAGAACCAGTGAGAGACTTTCATGAAAGACCATGAAAAGCAAATAATAAGTTAACACTTTCAGTGTAGACTTAACTGATGATGATGAGAAATAATGCAATGCTAATGTCTATATTTCTCAAGTATTTACCACCACAGTCTACAGCCCATTTCCAAGCAGAATATTATTTTTGTCTACAGCATTTTAAAGGTGGAGCACACTGATCTAAAACATAAGTATCTCTTGATAACTGTGTCAAGAGATAATTGTATTGAAAGAAATCTAAGCAGTTAGGCATCTCTTTAGAAAGTAAGTAGGGTTTATGTCTCTGAGTTACTTGAAAATGGCCAAAACCCATTATTATTCCTATATTTTAATCAAGTAGTGAAAAAAAGACTGGGTCAGTAGTCCAGCCTGTTTGGGTAGCCAAGTGCCAAAAAAGTAGTAGTCCAGGCTATAAAGATCTTATAGGGACCATGACTACACATGCAGGTGGCTTTCTCACACTGAAATCTGTGCTGTTTGCTCTGGAACTCTTATCCATACAAAATTAAAATTCATTTGGGCATAGCATGCCTGTAAGTGCTGCAGTTATAACTCCAGTTACAGCACAAATGGTTTTGACTCACAGAGTGGAGGATCCCTCAGCATGCATGTTCTCAGGGATATGAGTAGTGTGGTCATGGCTTCACAGCAGCAGCTGCAGAAGAACACCCTTAAGCTGTTGTGTGCTGCGATTAAGGATTGTATTCTTTTTTCCTATATGTAGCAGATGATTTTCTCAATCTGTTTGCTCTTTTCCTCTTCCTTGTCATTTTAATAGTAAATTAAGAGGCAAGTTCTCCCTGCTTTAGGGGGAATATTTTATTTTCTGTAAATATAGGCTGATCTAGCTATTTAATTCATGTCTTAATCGTGTCAGCAATTAGTCATTGAATGGCTTTAGATTATGGCTGTTGTGGTCACAAGAATTTAGGAATACAGCTGCCTCCTGCCACTAATTTAATTACTCTAACTCTTATGTTTACTCTTCCTGAATCTCCTATACTTCGTTGTTTCATCTTGTTTCAACTTGGAACTCTTCCAGGCAGAGACTGCTCCATCTTATGATATTTAGATAGGGTTCTGACAAAGTGGTGAATGGCCCTGGTGAAGATAATTGCCTGCATCTCCTCTACATGATATAATTGCATGCAAAGTTATCAGATAAGCTTAAAGGAGCTGGTGTGTCTATGCAGGGCGGCAGCCTGGAAAGATGCTTGCCCAGTCTGACAGCTGGACCAGCCTGGGGCAGTATCCAGATTCCCCATCACTGCCATGGTGGCATGAATACATCATTTCTGATTCCTGCCCAAGTACCTCTGCACAGCACTTCAGGGAGCATTGTGTCTTCACACGGATGCCTTCATAGGACTCTTAGTAATGATTGCTCAAGGTTGGTTGCCTAATTTTGGGTACTTGGAAGGCAGACATCTAGTCTAGGCAAACTCCCTCTGCAGCCAACGGAGGGTGACTGGCAACACCCAAAAGCAATTCTTCCCATTGATTTTAAGTTTCTTTCCTGGTGTGGGATAAACAGTGCTCTGGAGGTCCTGCCTCCCTTCACTGATTATAGAGGAAACATAGATGACTAATTTTCTCCTGATGCTTAACTATTAGGCAGCTAAAATTACACAGGGTGAAGCACTGTTGGAAGAGCTGAAGGCTGTTGATTGTGTGCAGAAGCTACCATGTGTTCAATATCTTTCCACTAAAGGAGCAAGGCTTTTTTTCTACTATAGTACAATCTCAGAGGGGGGGTGTTAGATAACTGGTCTTGAAAAATGTGTTGCATTCCACATGCTGTAATCTGACAAAAATGACAGCACAGGAGAAAGGAGAAGGGAATGAGCAAATGGTGACCGGTTGCTTCCGTAGCGAAAGAAAAATCTTTGTGTGTTTAAATCACCTGTCCAAAAGGGTGATGTTCTTCACTGATGCCAGGCCATACAGGAGCTTTTCTTTTTCTTGTGCTAATGAAGTTTCTTGGTATTTCTTGAACATGTAATTCCATGATGACTCATTGCCTGAGTTCTGCATCCCATAGCGATATACTAGGAGTCGGAGATTTGCAGGAATGCTAAAATAAAGAAACAGTACTTGAATGTTCTTTCCCCTTTCCTGCTTGAGATCTATGGCCAAGTCACATGCCATGTTCTTCACCAGCCACAAAAGCCATGAGCACTCACGTTTTTCCTTGTAGCCATTGCTCGAATAGTTGAGAAGCATTGTTCAGAGAGTCTGTGTAATCCATACTGCAGGCAAAGTCTAGAACAGATGCACGAAGAAGCCTTTAAAAGAGAAAGAGAGATGGAGAGAGGGATATTTTCCTACTGCTTAGTGTTCTTGGAATTTATCAGTAATATGAGAAGGAAAAAAAACATTGTTCAACCTCTCCAGATGGCTTCCAGCATCATTCCAGTGCAGTTGAACCACAATGGGTTTTACCAGGTAGCGGAAATATTCCTGAGGTAGAAAAAGAGGGTTGGTTACTTTGGTAGATTTCTTTAAATAACAAAATATTTGTGTTCATAGTTTGTTCTCCTTCATTTTTCCCAGAATTAGCATCTCTTAAACAACAAGGAACACCAACACGCACATGCACAATCTTTCCAGATCACCACAGCATGCTAAGTCTGAATGCTTGCAATACTGATGCGCAGATAGGACAAAGGCAATCTGCTTCTCTCCAGCCTTGTCTGTGCTCCTGAATGAAGGTTGGGGTACAGCAAGGACACACTGCCACAACTGTTTTCCAGAGATAATGCTGAGTTCAGGACATACTTATTTCAGTGACCATTAAATCATGTTCAGCATGGTAGGTCAACTAACACACCTGCTCCCTGCCACATTGAGATATAGCCATCCTTCATGCTGAGGACAGGTGTCAGAGATTTTGCTGCCCTATACATGCTTTACTGGATGCAGGGCAGCCTTGACTAACAAATGTCTGTACTGTGACTTATGGTGATGGATTATAAGAATAATTAGGCACAATTTCTTTCCTCGAAGTGCATAGTCCTGAACTGAGAATCCAGGTAATTCAGAGATCAGTACTAAGCAGTTTTCAGCACTTTTTTTTAAGAGTACTGTAACAAAAAGTAAATACTAATAGCTCAGCAACATTGAAAATCACTTGAACTTCAATATTATTGCTGTTACAGGTCCTGAGCTGTCAGATCCAGTGGTCCCGTGCAGGAATGCTTTTTTTGCTTCATCACCTGAAACCGAGGATAGAGATTTGTGTCATCTTCAAGCATGTTTGCGAGGTAAGTTACAGATGATATAACTCGATGCCAAGGTAAATAGTCTGTTTCATTTGTTAGGTATTTTGTGAGCTCCAGGGGAACAGTGTAATTCACGAGTCCAGGTCTGTGGAAGGAGAAAACATAACTTCTGTTATTTTAATGAATTTGAAGAACTTACTTCTTTAAAGAGATTAGAACACTATTTACTTTAGAAGGTCTGAAATAATAAATTTTGAGAGGGTGAAAATAGTCTGGAATGTAACTTGGGAGGTGTTTTCAAAGAGCCCACTGAAGATCACTGTTGATCAATGTCTAACCACAGGAGCTCTCACTGTCGTGAGGAGGCTTGTGCAGCAGCCCAGTGTGCCCCAAAGTGGGTAGCCCTCAACTGACTGCATTAATTCCCGGAGACATCCTGAAAGGCTAGGGTGATTTAGACTTACAGGCTGTCACAGGAGGTTGCCTAAAGTTTATCTGTGTCAGCATGGCTGGGTACAAGAGCTAGAAGTTTCCAAGTAAGTTTCTAAACAAGATAGCTGAGGTGGTAACTTCCTAATGCCATGCTATGCATTGTGGGCATGTCTCTGATTTTCTGGACACCTAACTTCTTCTGGAGTGCTTCTATTAATGTTACTTAGATGTTACTTAGTTACTTACCCCTTTCTAAGACCTGTGCAATTAAAGCCCTCTTTTTTCCTGCCACTGAACTGAAGGGGAGCGTCTCTCTTGACTGCATTGGTACTGCAAGTTGCCAATGCATACTTGAATTTGACCCTTTTGGAGGACAATATAAGCCAATAAACAATTAAGACTTGTAACAAATTCAGAAATTTTCTTTCAACCACCTGAGTTGAGTTAATTCTTATTAACAGGCAATGGAAAGTGAAAAACTTGTGTTGAAACCTCTGCAGGGAATTAGTTTACCTTGCTAAAGAAAAGGCATCATCCAAAATCCCTGCACGGTCAGCAGCTGAAAAATCCTATGCGAAAAGAGGAAAAGAGTGATCAAGAATATATAGATTATTTGCAGAAAAAACAGCCTCTACAAACCTCTATAAGAGACCCATCAGACAGGTTAATGTTATGACACTCACTTTGTGGTTGCTGACCAGAAGAATGCTTAATCTGGCCCAGCTTTGACTATCATAATTCACCCGATAGAATCCAATGTGGTCTGGATTAATGTTCGCAAAAGTATTAGGAGGTGATGCTATTACAATTCCTGCAAAACAAACAAACAGTGATCAGTTTGTGCATTTTATATGACACAGAACTCACTGGAGATTCCTTGACTCCAAAAGTAATATGTGGTTTTAATGAATTTCAAAATAAGATCCAAACCTTAATTTTATTTATTTATTTTTTAAAGGGCCATGAGTAAAGACGAGTTATTATAGACTTTAATGAGTGCCAGCACTTGTCTTACAATAGTGAATTGTGGTAATTACTTAGGCCAGCTAGTTTGTTAAATTTAAAATGGAGATCATTGTGATTAGGGTTAGGATGGTGAAAATTAGTGTCATTGTAAAAAAAGTAAAAAATTGCAAAGAAACGGTACTTGCAAATATCTCTTTTAAAAGGTTTTTCACCCTCATGATTACTATTAGTTTAAAAGTTCTCATATTTTTTCCTCCATTCGTTTCATTTTTCAGTTTATTTCAACTAACTTTTCAAGGGCTTTCTTCCCTGTACTCCTCCCTGATTCAATTTTTGTAGCTCGAAATAAAGGAACCACAAAATCAGCTGACTTTACTTAAGCATTCATGTTTAAGGAATTTCCCATTTAAAATGAATCCTTGAAAAATGTTCCTTTCTCAGAAGCTTGGCCTGGTCCAGTTGGTGCTGCTAGTTATGAAAGTTTTTCTATTGCCCATTGAAAGCAGTGGTCTTCAATCTGCAGTTTGAGGGTGGCTGGAGTTAAAAGCAATTTTCTCTTTGCTTTATCCATACAAAGTATTTCAAAAGGCATTTTTTCCCTACAGTTGCTGTTTTACCCTACTAGCCAAAATTTTTATGGGTGTAGAAGTAAGCACCTAATCACGCCTTTGGAGACTTTGTCAAGTTAATAGCCCCTTGCAGCTCACCATAATGTCATATGGAAGTTAGAGAAGGAAAATTTCTTTGTCTTAATCTTTGACTTGTAGCATGACATAAGACTTTTTTGTTTGCTTTTGCATGGATACTAGAAGCAACCAGGTAAAAAAAAAAAGCAGAACAAAAGGCGTAACATTCAAACAAGTACAAGAGAAGAGCTGATTGTGACAGTTCTGAAATTCCAACATGATGAAATTTTAAAACTTCAGAAGTCAGTACTTTTTTTCTTTTTTCCCCCATTTTTTCCCCATTTTTGGCCACTACAGTTATAGAAGGAGAAATCCAGATTTGACCGCATAATAGAACAATCACAAAAAATACCTGTGTAGGTTTTTCCTTATTCCTGAAATCAGCATCAGAAAACATGTGTAATCATTCATAGCTCTTTTTCTTTGATTGAACTTAGATTGCCAGTTTACCATGCCGCAGATGCGTTCATCAGCCTCTCACTTCACCTCTTTTCTTAGACTCGACAAGGGGCATATCTAAGTCCCATTGATTTTAGTGCATCCTAATTAAGAGTTTGCTTAGATGCTTCCTTGAATAGGACTGGATTTAAACACATGCTTAAGCACTTTACTGAATTGAGCCTAAACTGACATAATGTGTGTATAGGGGAAATAATCATCTTATTGTAGAAATGACTACTAACTTCACCACAACCAAGCTGTGTGCTGGTTCCTGGATCTGAAAACTGAAACGCATGAAAGTTAATTCTGTATTTTATTTCTTGTTAAGGACATTGAAAAGCTTTATCTGTTCATTACTCTTAAAAGAGAAGGGGAAGTTTACCTGCAGGATCTGATGTGTTATAGAAAGTATAATTTGTTGAACTCCCAAGTCTCCATTTCACTGGTATATTCCATTTGTAACTGAAATTATTTAAAGGGAAAGAGAATCAAATGACATTTGAAACCAAATGTTAAAAATAAAACTCCAATGTATCTTTTTTATTTGTTTTAATGCTTACATATTGTTTTATGAAGCCAATTGTGTGCTTATGTACATATACGTTTACCAAATATCCCTTGTACCAAAACACAGTGTTTTACCAATAGCTGTTGTTTATGTAGTACAGATGTTTCTGTGCTATGATACTCTATTCAGGCAACAAAATGTAAGATATTGATGTGGTGTGATTGGGGCAGTTATATTCCCTGAAAAACAAAATAAAAAGTGTGAAATATCTGAGCATGTTCATGCTGTAGAGATGGGGAATAGCAGTAGCTATTCTTAATACTTTGTATTTATCAATAGTTCTCAAAATGCATCTGGTGGACTGAGCAAGGGAGCGAAGTAAGATTTTGTCCAGCTTCCGACGTTGATGTATTAGTCAAGTTAATAGTTAATACGATACTCTGTTAATGATGTGCCCAAAGTTAAGTCTGAAAGCAGCACAATTTATCTGGTTTTGGTTTGGGTTTTTTTGGTGGTGGTTTTTTTTTTTTTTAAATCAGTGATTTTCTGAATGCAATTTTCACCGCTTGATGACTCTGTATGCTGGAAAGGGTAAAAATTACCCATAATCATACAGAGATCACATAAATGAATTTCCATTGTGCTATCCTGTGTAGCTTATTACCACAGCTCTGGAACATGCAGCTGCTAAGCAGTATCTTCATGTCATGTCAGATAATAACCTAGCAGGGTACAAAACAATTAATTTAGTAAAAAATGATTATATGTGTATGGTTGGTATCAGTGGTAATATTGATGTGTCTAGGTCTTTGTGCAGACACCACTTAATCTTTGCAACGCTGACTTGAAATAAGTGGTTAAGTATTATGAAATCTTTTTTACAGATGTGAAAACTGAAAGAGCTTAAGCAACCATTGCGATGCAGTCAGTAGGACCTTTTGCCTTTTCCAGCCTATTTTCCTTCTCCAAGACAACCCTAATTCCTCAATTATAAAGCACTGGGAGCCAAATGTGACCTTTTCTCTTGCTTTTCAATTCCTTGAATACCTTCATTGGGTACGTGCAGGCTCCTCAGTCTGGGGCATGCCCAGGATGAAGCCGAGACATTTGGGCTGGGAGGGAGCCATGGCACAGCCTGATCAAGACTGTGACCAGGCAGTCAGGGAAGTAGGATGGCAGAGCCTGCCTTGAGCATACCTGCACAGCCACCTGCATAGGGCTGCTAAAATTATTAAGCCCTTTTGAGCAGTCAACAGCTGTTCCATGTTAGCATATTACAGTCCATCCCAGGGAGATTTTTCTTCTGTCTTAAATGCCCTGGTGACAAGCGCCACAGGAAAACCTGAGCCATCTTTACAACCCTGGATTAAGTGGATGGTCATTAACTTCCAGAAAATACCAAAATGAAGGCTACGGTATCTCCTGCTGCTTCCAGGAAGAAAGACCAGTTACTGTTTTGTATCATCTAAACAAAAATATCTTAACAGATTTATATACTTCTAGATTTTACTAGTTCTCTTATGGAGCTTACTGCCATGGGAATTTAGAGAGGTTATTGTTTGGCTAGAAGCCCCAGTATTGTGGTTCCCCAAGAGAAAGCCCATAAAAGATGATTTTAAAAAAAAAAACCCTCTGGTTTTGTAAATGCATTTAATGGGGGGGGATTTTATTTAGTTTTCTTTATATGTTCCTGAGCTTACATACATAAATACTTTTCCTGAGCATAAGGTACAAGAGCTGTGTCCTGTTAACTGTGCATATTGAGGACGTGTTCCTGATATGCTATGCTGTAGCTACATATTTGCCCAGCAGTGCTATTTTAAGAGCACAGGTTTTTGAACTTCCATTTCTTTTGAGTGTCAGCATGCAGGAGAGGACTCTTTCAAGCCAAACAAGCTTGAAACAAGCAGGCAGCTGAGGAGACTATCCCTACAGTGTTCAGAGAATAAAGCATACACAAGGCCTGGAGTTTTCACTGCTTAAATCAAAATCCCGCACCTGGACATGAAATAGGCCAGTCCCATCTGGGGTAGGATCTCTTCAGGAGCTTCCTCAACCCCATCTGTGAGGGTGGAAGGAGGAGGTATTGAGTTTCAGTGGACTGACTTCTAGATAAAAGAGTAAGTCTGTCCCAGGATAGATAATGTCAGCATTACATTACTGCATTTTATTTTGAAGTAATTTATAAAAACTACATATTCAGAAACAAATTCCCCTCTCACTTTGGGAATAGTAGGGGCAGTGCACAGCTCAACTTCTTGACAGGTTAGAGTAGGAGCAGTGCTGGGATTTCTGCTCAAGTAATGACAAATGGCAATGTACCGTAAGTCTTGAAGTCAAGCAAAAGTAGGATTCCTGATTCTGCTACCTCATAGCATAGTGCAGTAAGTCAAAATTTTTAACACTAAGAAGTATTTTTGCCTGAATAGTCTGTAATACCAGCCTTCAGATGGCACAGTGCTGCTGTTTGCGGCTAGCGTTACTTCAAAAGCCTGCAAACTTTTCTGCTTATGTTGGGAGAAATACAACGTTTCAAAGACAAAGGTAATTATCCAAACTCTTTTGATACCTGTCCTAAACTGCCAATACCATGGGTCTTCTCATTGGTCAAGTTTTTTCTTTTTAATCAGAATGAAATAAAGTGGCCACAACTGTTTCTTCATTTTCTCCTTGTTCTTGCTTTTTGTATTAAAATAACTAGTAGAAGCTAATGGAAAATTGCATTTGGGTAGATTTAGTTCTGGTTCGTACAGGCAAGTTTTACTGGTTTAATTGATTGGGCTAGTTCGGGGAACGAAAGCTTCCTAATATGGGTTGATTTGAATCTCTCTCACTGAAATGGTAGCAAAGTTGTATTTTGCCTCAAAATTGGGGCTGGCTAAGAATATACACAATGCCAGTTCTGAACAGTTATTCAGCTGGTTAATGCCATGGCGCACCTGAGACATTTTTCTGTGCAGGTTCACCAACCCACATGTAGGGTTCATCTCCTCCCAGGTCAGTCATCTATTAATTAACAAATATGCTCCTATAGATTAAACCCCCCCATCTTGAATAGGGTAGATGAATGCAGCTGTCTGTCTGGTCACGTAAGAGCCTGAAATGTCTAACTTTGACTAGATAACTGCGTTTTAGATAGGTAAAATTAAGCAATACCATCCTGAGTTAAATAGGGAAAAAATAGCTCTTGATGAGGATTAATAACATTTATACATGACTAGTTATTTCACAGTAACTCATGTTTTTAAGACATGTAGAGAAGACCCTGTATTGTATGTGAAGACCCTGTGTTGTATTATAGATCCTATACCATGTGGGAAAAGGAATAAAATATTGTGGTATACAATACCTAGTTCATGGTATCTGATTTCTGGACAGAGACAATTTTGTGTCAGTTTTCCTTAGTCTGGCAGACTATAATTTGCAGTGGTTCAACAGGTGACTTGCAATCATTTGAGCTGTCTGTGTGTGGACATAAGATTTTCTGAGAGACCTTGTCAAATTCTACTCTGCTGTGTTGGAGAAAGAAACTCTGAGACAAAGGGCTGATGCTGGCCTAAATTTGAAATATTTGTATCCAACTTCCTGCTGGTTTCTTTTTAAAAACAAATCCTGAGATTAAGTTTAGCAAGAATGGGTATAACACTGCCTACTGTATGTCAGCTGAAGAGAGTACCTGTACAGTATTTCTACCTACTTTGGATAGACATTCACAGCAGGAACTTACCCAAGATCAGAAGGAGGATGAGAAGCATTTGCATTGGGATCCAAGAGAAAACGTTTCTGTGTGAACACTGAATTATCTCCCATCTCCAAAACAGGGTAGCCCATCTGCCTAGTCCATGTGTCCATGACTTCCTTCACAGGTTTATTACTTGCCTATGGATGATGGGAGAAGGTTGCAGTGAAAAAGCAAATTCAGTCCAAAGAGTTAAAAAAAAAAAAGTATCTCTGATATTGAGAGAAAGAAGAGCAGAAAGTGGCAGAGGAAAGAGCAGGTTCAGTGCAAAAAGTACTCCGTTAAATCCTTTTATGGTGCCTGTCATTGAAAGAAAGTATGAGCTGGAAACTTGAGCACGGACAGAGGAAATTAGAAGTATATGGGCAGGAGACTGACCAGTAGCATGGACAAGAAATACTGAGGAACCTTTGAGGCCCCTTGCATGCTCTAAGATCTCTCCATTTTTTTTGAGGAAATAACTGAACAGGACAGAGGGACATAAAGAAACTTTTCAAAGCCAGAAGTCTCTTTGCAGTATGCCCTGTTTTGAGAGTGAAGGAGGAGCCAGTATTAACCACCAGCAGCTGCACTAATGTAAAATTTGATCCATTCTGTGGACTGTGAACCTCTGTCCTAGTGACTGGAGCTGGAGAAAGCTGCCACTGCCTCCCCAGGATGCCACTTGTGAGGGAAGGGAGCTGGGGTCATTGTTTCCTTCTTCAGATGAGGTAGATGATGTGAAGATGCAGGGCACCAGAGAGACAAAGCAGGAAGAAATCCTGTTGAGCAGGAAGAAGTCTGGGACCAAGGAGAAGACAGGAACTTTGAAGGAGACACAAAAGTGCAACTTGGGCTGTGTGGGTGTCCACAGAGGTGGAAGGAAAGGAAATACCATCAGGGGAAGAACCTGGTAGTATGCAGGTGGGCTTTTGGGGGTAATGAGATAGGTGGAGAGAAACAACCCAGTCTCAAGCAAAAGGAAAGATCAGAAAACCGTGGCACAGACAATGACCCAACTGGGACTCAGAAGACAGAGACAGAGATAAACACCAAAATTACTTGGGAATGGATACTGTTGAGAACTTTCAAACAGCTAAATCTGGTTAGAGATAAGGGAGAGTATGAGGTGTATGTATGTGGTGGATGAGGGGTGTTTTCACCCATGAAATGAGTTTGAGTTGCGGGGGGAATGTTTCAGTAGCAGGCTGTTTGTTAGCAAGGCCTCCTTTCTTGCTTCTTATTCCACTCCCACAGTCTTATGCCAAAAAATGAGGAAATAATATATATTTGCTAGAAATAATATGTGTTGGAATATACTGGGAGGCTGCTTAGCTTGTGATCTCTGATTGACAGAAGAGCTACAGACTATAAAAAGTTTGGGAAACTGAAATCAGTGGGTAAGATATGGAACATTTATTAGCAAGGGTTTGGGTTGCTGCAAAACATACCGCTTCCAGAGCTTCCCAAAATTGTTGTGTCTTGGCATTCTGGAAATGGTGTTTCTTCAAATATGCCTAGAGAGAGGTAGAAGACTGTGAAAATACTACCAGGTCTTTCTTCTTTGCCTATGAAAACAATACACATATTCAGTTGTACAGAGAGTACAGATTAGTTGTACAAAGTATCTATGCGTGGATGGTAGTATTATGAGTAGGAGGTTAAATGGATCAATATTCAGCTGATGAAGTTCCTTTGCTTTCCAACGTATCCTGTAACATTAAAAGTCAGCATTTTCCACTGTGACTTGTTAGTACGAAATAAATTTGTACTTGAAGAGTTTTTGGATTTTGTTTGAATGGACACCAGCATACCCTGTTGCAAATTTATGTTTAATGTAAGAGCTTGCTTAGAAGGAGGAAGCTGTTTCAGGAGATTTCACTAGCTGTGGACTCGGGGTGGAAGCAGGGAAGTCTAGTCACCTCTAAGTTGTGATCAAAATGATTATTACAAGGAATAATGGTATTCAGCTAAGTGTTTGCACCCCCTAAACACTATTCCCATCCTTTATTTTACCTGGCTGCTTAGCGAGTGCTTTCCTACCCTGCTATCCGGATCCTCGTGATGTTTAGTCGGTAGATGGTGCTGTTTGTTTCACCGTTAGCCACCACTACCTACTTTAATGTTCTTGAAGGCTTTGAGTAGAGGGAAAGTATTAGTCTCTTGTGGACAAGGTGGCTGTATTTTCCCATCTTGTGGAACTGTCCTGATTGAATATATGAAAGGAAAAATAAAGGAAAACACAACTGTCTTGTAGCAGCCCATAAATGTGCTCTCCAGGAGGGAGGGAGGTGAGAACAAATGTGGTAAACCTGGGCTGTAACTCTTCAGAGACGACAGACGTTGGTTCAGAGGAAAGGGCAGATAACCTTCCTCTTTCTGGGAGGGGTCCTTTCTCCCATAATTTTGTAGCATCACATTTTTTCCTCCATGAGAAAGGACTATGAAGTGTGCAATATCTCCCTTTTCTGCTCCCTATTACCTCAGCTCTCTAGGGCTGGGTGCCCCTGCATCAGGGTACAGATGAGCTTATGCCTGCAAGAGTGTCCCTGCATAGCAGGCTTGGGTGGGTTGGAGGATCGTGGCTGTATGAAGCTGCAGACATACTTTACAGCTGAATGAGGGGAACCTAGCTGACAATAGGATAACAGTGGGGTAGAAGAGGTTTCTTGGCTAAACGCTGTCATGAATTTAGGTCCTCACTGGCAGGCTATCAAATCTTAGTGCAGTTCACATTCCTGATTCTGTGGGAGCGTGGAACTTCTTCCCCATGATGTTGTCCACTCAGTACTGAAATGCACTAAATACTTTTGGTACTAGTACCAGGATCTCTGATATTCACTTTTTGAACAATGGCTTTGCTACTGTAACACAAGGATGGGCTGCATTTCTCACCTGTTCGGTGCCACGCTTACCTGACAGCCTTTCTGGAAGAGGTCTGGTGTAATCCAGTCTCGAAGCATTCTGAGGATCGATGCACCCTGAGGACAAAGGGAAAGGGGAGAAGGTCATTCTACACTGCTCTAACACTGGATTTCCATTAATCTAAAAAGCAACATGAGAATGAATATTTTATTAGGCAAAAATAGAAACCATCCATCTGACTAAGGAAGTGGTTTTTCTAATTCCTTCATGTCACAGCATGCCTGCCTGCCAGAGCTTAATTCTAGATGTGACAGTTGGTTTTTGGCTGTGACCAGATGCCCGTTTCCAAGTTCAGCTGTGCCAGTGGAAGGGCGCCCAAGCCCCGCTGCTGGGGGTTACTGTCCTGCTACTCTACCAATTTGTGTGACCGGGGGTCCCTGTTTCACTTTGAACAGCACAGGGGTGAGGGCAGCTGGGGAACTAGCCCTGTCCAGCAGCACAGCCTGACAGAGGAAGTGATTTTGGCTGAACACTCAACAGGTAGGGAACTCTAAAAATGCTGCAAGTCTGGGACTTTATGTGTTGGGGAAGCCATCTCAAGGTTCAGAATGAGCTTTGCTGAGGACTGGTGTGAGAACTTTGGCCTCTGAAGCAGGGTAGAATTGGGATCAGAGAAGTTACTTACTTGGGTGTCACAGAAAAAAACAATTAGGATCTTGAAAGAGGAAAGAAACAAAGGGAAGACAGGAGAGAGAAGTAGAAGAGTCATGTGGAACAAAGAACAGAGTGGGCACAAAATGATGAAAAACAAAAGCAGTGCAAACCCAATCTAAAATGCAAAATACAGTTCTAGGATTAGCATGTTTTCATTTTCTGAACTAAATCAAAGGGCAGCTGAGAGCCTAATGCTATGAATGGTTTAAAAATCCAGTTGTCCCATGAAAACAAGAATGTTATCTGAATTCTCAGTAAATCCTGTCTCCCCTATTTACGTGTCTGAGAATAACAACTTGACTGCACGAGTCACAGCAGAGGGACTGTTTGAACAGATATGCCTCAAACTGCTTTCCAGACTATTGTTGCAGAGTTGAGATAGTCAGCAGATAACTCTTTTCTGATACAGTAATTTAATGTGTTTACAGTGAAATATGTTCAAAAGCAATTCAGTAAAATTTAGAACAGATTTCCATTAGTGGCAATCATAAGGCTGCTTATGATTAATGGTAATTGTAAGGCCACGTGTATGTACTAGGGTACCTCAGCTCCTCAACTTTGTCTATCAGCCACTTCTTATCTGATATCACCTCTCATAGACCATCCCCTCCCATTTATATTAAAAGCCAGAGTAGAAATATGCACTTGTGCATGCATTTGGGAACAGCAGCGATTTCTTTTGCTTTAAATTGCAATGTACAGTTAGCCCCTTGCATCTTCTACTACTGCTTTTCAGTCTCTTCCCCCTAGTCTTGTCATTCCTCTATAGTCTGTGATGGAGTGTGTTTGAGAAAAACTCATCCTAACAACTGGTTATAACTGGTTATAGGAACTCAAGTGTTTTAATAACTTTCCTTTCTTTCAGCTGTTGGGGAAGTTCAGGAAAGTGACCTTGATTTGAATAGCTGACCTTGTCTGATGGGGATGTGAGGGGGAGCCTTTTAACAACACCCACATAACTTCTCCTAGGGAGGTGTAGTAATTGCCAAGTATATGACAAGACTGTATGTGGCAGAAATATGGAATGTTTAATCCCAAACTTCTTTAGCTGGGAGGTTCCAAAAATGTGGGGGTCCAAGACCAAACTTCTAGCAGAAATTATTTAAGTATCTGTTTTCTGAAAAGGTAATCAATATTTGAACTCCAAAGACAAAAAAATCTCATTGTTACTTTAATAGAATCTTTCAAACTAGGAGAGAAGATTAAACTGGAAAAGAGGTGAGATGCAATTACTTTTTAAGAGCAGATTAAAAGAATTATATACATTAATTGTGCAGTCACCAGCTCTACTCTAATACAGCTCTCCTAGGTGCATAATGCCATGCCAATCATACAGCAGTTAGAGTTTCCCTTACAGAATACAATGCAATGACTCCACAGACCCTTAGGCTTTAGACCTAACCATTAGAGTTTTAGGATTGCAGAAACCCTGTAATTGCTTTGGTAAAACTAACAGAGAACATTCCAAATTATGCTTTATTTGTTTAGTGATGAATATTATCATGAGGAGATTGTTTTTATAAGAAAAATGCAAAAGAGAAGCCAAAATAAAGCCAAAAAGAAACAAGTTAATTTTGTCACGCATTTATATATAAATATCAACAGTAATTTGAGCTAAATCTACGTGAAGACTTTCTCATTCAATCCAAATTATATCCCAAGCCAAATTATATCCCAAGCAGACTGTTCCCAAACAATGCATGAGTCCTCAAGTGTTTTCACTTAAAAAAAAATAAGTCCATGTAGCAATTATGTAGGCACAAAGAGATGACTAAAAGCTAGGATTTTTTTTCTCCATTGTTTTTTCAGACCATGCAGAAGTATGTCTCTTGCTTAGCTCACCACTAAAATGCATTTTGGTGCAGAGTATTTCATTTAGCTCTGTATGTTTCTTGACTTTTGTTAGTTTGATTTAAGAACGGTGTTACACAATGCAGGTTTTCACATGGTTTATGATTTGACTGTGAGGCATTTATGATGCAATAAATACTGGTTGTATTGTTGGATAGAGGATTTAACAATTGAAAACAGAAAACTGATGGAAATGGATGGATCAAGTCTAGCTAATAAAAGTAATATCTACAGCTACAGACTCTTGCACAGCTAAAGCTAAAGTCAATGCAATACATACTTTATGTTTAGCTGATAATGGGAGCTTGGAGGGAAAGCAACAAACAGGATTTAATAATGGTGGATTTTGTGTGCTCAGTGGAAACTTGTTATGGCATCAGAGAGGAAACACTGACAGAGTCATACAAGAAGCTGTCAACACAGGGTCACGGGAGATGGCTGGTTGAGGAGAGAGTGAGCAGAGTCCCAGCTCCTTCCTCACCTTGGTGGCATATGTGGTGGTGAGAGGGAAGAGGGACAGGGGTGTTTCCTCCTGTGCTTCTTCAGATTTGTCTGTTAATGCACTGAAAAAAATAACTAGAAGCAACAGTGTTGTCAGGGCAGCGCTTGAGTCAAGGGACTCCCTGGTTAGATACCAGGGAGTCTGGGGGAGACCTGCTTTGTTCCGTGTCTAAGGGTTCTCTAAGGACAAAATGGCTTTGGCTATATCTGATATGGAGGGAGACAAGCCAGCTTCAGCTTCCTAGCCTGGATCCTGCTGACCACATCAAAGTGTTGACCCTCAGCATGGCTGCTGGCCTCTCCAGTGCTCTGGACCTCAAAGCACTTTTCCACAAGGGCTGAGCTCCTGGCTGCTGCCCCACACAGCTACCAGAGGCTGTGGGCTCAGGGAGGCCTCTGTGCACCCTGGTCGCAACAGCAGTTGGACGGCACCAGCATCCTCATGTCTTGCTGCTCAGAAAGACCCAGGGTATTCTTCCAGTCAGTTCCAGCTGGCTTCTGAGAGAGCCTTTATAGGCACAGGTCCCCACCACCACTGACAGGGACAGTCCCAGGATGGGCAAAAACTTGTCAAATACCTAATGGTGTGTCCTTTACCACTTCCTGGGCTACAGACTACTGTACTCCAAGTCAGTCCTGAGCTCCACAACTCTCAGTGAAATGTGGAGCTAACTTATCTCCCAGTTTAAGGCCAATGCCCTAGAGACTGGTGTAGACCATCTTTGCTATGGCTTCTTGGGTGGCTGGGATACTGTGAGCAACTTGAGACAGAAAGTTACTTTCCTGTTTTCACTGATTGGTTCCCTGCCTTGCTCTCTCAAAATAGAAGTTGTACTGCCCCAAAGGTGTGATGGGGAAGTGAGAGAGGACACCTAGACATCTGCCCTTGCATCATCTGGCCTTGATTTAGATTATGATGCTTGACATAACTGGGCTGCATCAGCACATGAGGTGATGGGAGAGAGATGTGCTTAGTATTTGGGTTAGGATAATTTTAAAACCAACAACTTTAGTGGCAGAAGCTGCTGACACTGTGATTTCCCTGCACCTCTGCATGCTGTGACCAGGTTTGCGTGGTGCACAGTGGCAGACTGAGACCCTGGCTGCACTGCTCCTCTCACAGTTGCTTTTGACTGAATCATAACAGACAACAGTCGGGAATGTCCCAGAAAAAAGGTCTGCACAGACACAGCCCAAGTGGGTTAGGAGTTATGATTACGAGCTCCCCTGACTTTTATCTCCTCTCCCAAGCCTCCACTTTCTTTGCATCCAAAGTCACAACAGGAGGATATCCTACCTTACTGTAGGATATCCCGTCAAACACAGAGGTGATTTCAGCTGGAGATGACACATTGACCACAATTGGGTGGGAAGAGAGCAAAGAGTCATCCTTCATGACAGGAAGCACATCATCAATTAAAACCTGTTCGAGCTGCGAAAGAGAAGATGTTAGAATAGAAACAAAGGCAGGACTATATGCCTAATTTCACAAAATAAGTAGCTTGAACTGCAGCTTCTCTAGGGGGAGGCAGTTGGAAATGGAATGAAATTTCACCTCCTCTAAAGAAGGACTTTCAAACTCTTACTTTATGTCTGAGAGGGGAGGGACATATTTTTTCCTTAACTAAGATAAATTGCCTTTTGCAAATCCTGCTTTCCTGTGTGTATGATAACACAACCCCCCACAGTAGGCAAAAAAAGAGGCCTGTATTACCAATTTCAACAGCTGACAATATCTGCAAAGCATTATGGGCTCCTCTTGCAAAAAGAGGAGCTGGGGAGGAAGGGAAGGAGGGAGGAAGGAGGCAGGTTCACCAAGGTTTATAATTTTTTTAAAGTAATTATAATTTTTTTAAAAGATTAAGTGGCCTGCAGTCAAAATCCCGTTACTTCCTAATCAATATTGACCAAAAAGACTAAATTTCTATTTAGTTTTCCTCTTCTAATACTCACTAGAATGGCAACATGGAAATGGCTCTAGATCTTAAATGAACATGGTGTCTAGATACCAAAAGGTCTTTTAAATTTTAGGCTCAGAATTAAAATTTTTCTTACATAGCTAGCACAACAGATCCTCTACTTCAAAGTGTAAAACAAGTGACCCAGGAATGATTTTGTTCTCAGCCTCACGTAACACGGATGAGAAGAGATATTTATGGGGAGCAGGGAGGGAGGCAGGGGAAGCACCAAGTAGGCACTGTCTGCTTCTAAAGTCACTAGGCTCAGGGGCTAGTAGATTTTGACAATGGGCTCAACCTATGCAAAGCCTACCCTGCTTCCTTCCACTGGCATATGTTATATATTTTCTAGTAGCCAGAATCTCATTACACCTGGACAGCTGGGGAAAATATGCATACTATACACCATCACATCTGTTTGGGAGGAGAGGAAGAAGAGAGCAAGAAACCCCCCTTTATTCACAGACTGTTATCATTCCTTAGAGTAAAATGCATATTTAAGGCTACTCTCTTTGTCTGCAACTCCCTTAAAGTGGCTGTGAGTTGGTTTTGCTGCACAGTTAGTGCTGTGGGCCATCCACTATCACTACTTATTTTTGTGCTGTGCAGAGTAGAGGTTGTCTGAGTTGGAGCATTTGAAATGACACTTAAAATGCTGGCAGCAGCTGAATAGCGGATCTGATATTTTCCTTGACAAATAGCCCAAACTGTGGAGAAGACAGGCCCAGGTTCCCAACCCTCACCAGGTCAGATAACGAACCTGACAAGTCGTTGATAAGACACTACAGCCCTTGATAAGACACTGCAGCCCAACTAAATAAATAAGAGGGAATCTCCATCTTCCAGCCTCTTTCCAGAATCCAGCTACGTATTATTTGCCATAATAATAAAAAACACTTGACTGACTTGTTAAAAAAAATTACTCTTCCCTGCAGACTAAAACTTCACAAAGTTTACTTTGAGTAGTTTCAGACCATAACATAGGTAGGTGGAAAAGCTTAAAGCAACTTTTTCTTTATGTTGCACTGCACTATGTTATTTTTCTATAAACATACTTTAAGTCTTCATTGTCCTTGTCCAATTTTTACTGCCTTTCAAAATGCTCCCCCCAGCCCCACCAACCCTCCCCAAGACAGAAATAATTACCATTTGCCAATCTGGTTCTGCAGCATTTACTCCCAGGAACTCAAAATAACTGGCAAATCCTTCATTTAACCACAAGTCATCCCACCAGTCCATGGTCACAATATTTCCAAACCACTACAATTATAAACATTGAAAGATACAGTATTAGCTAAATGGTAAATGTATGTTTCAGTATCTCACATCTCCACATAGAACATTCATTTGTTCACTTTTCTTCCTGTTGCCAGATGAAAATTATCATAATTCTGGGGTTTAAATAGGAATTTAGGCCTCGCCTTGTGTTAAAACATCAGTTTTATTATAAAATTACATATTACTGGGGAGATTGCTAATGATTCATGTGCCACTGAAAATATTTTTAGTTTCTTCCTCTTGCTTTGATGATTTGTGCTTGTAAGGATATGTTTTCAGACAGCCTCCACGGTATATAGTTGTCCTTATTTGCTTGTCCAAAAGAGACATCTGCACATGCAAATTAGTTCCTTTAAGACATTTCAGACAGATTTTCATAAGCTGGCTCACAGTCTGGACCCAGGCATCTAGCTTCCTGAGAAATATTCAAAGGCAGTAGTTATGGTACTTTAAAGCTCTAATGGGGAATTGGTTTAGCATAGTATTTTGCAATCAAATTGTGAGCACATGGAGAAGATCCTGAGATGGAGTTAATGACAGTATTTTCAAGATTAAAATGTTGTGACTACACATTTGAAGCACTGTAAAAATTAATCGTGTCCTAAAACATACCTGATGAACGAGCTCATGGGCTATCACAGCAGCTACTCTCTGTTTGTTGGAAGTGGCTGACTCATTGGGATCATACAGTAGGTTTGTTTCTCTGTATGTGATCAGCCCCCAGTTCTCCATAGCACCTGTCCCGAAATCTGGAATAGCTATTTTGTCTACATTGAAAGAAAGAGAATATAATTACCACTGTATCCTTTAAGCCACTTAGCTTGTTCTCATTCTGTGTATTCACAGCCTGTTTTGCTTGCCATTTGTGGTTGTGGACCACAATTGCTGTGGACTGCAGTCTATAACCTGTCTTTAAGAAGCAGGGAACTGGCCTGCAGCAGCTGATAGCAAGCATGCTGGCTCTGCTGGGATTAATAGAGCTAGGATCCGTTGCACTAGCTGAGGATCTGTCCTGCGAGGTGATGCTATGTCACCTCCTGGGAGTGTGCGTATCACACATTACTTAATTTTGGCTCCAGAAATTAATAGTATTGTCTGGGGATGTGCTGTAGGCAGTAAACCTCCTGAAACTATCTGTAGCATAATGAGGCATGTCATTGTTTGTCATACTGTTGTATTAAAAATATTTATTGACATGTTAACTGAAGTAAATCCTCCATGCAGTGAACAACATCTGCTTCTAGTCCTGGCAATTTGTGGGGGTCACTCATTTATGGTCAGTAATCAATACAGGTTTAAATGAGAATTGCGGACTCAATTGGACTGGCATTTTCTTCTGCAAATAATGACCACAGCGGTTCTATGTGGGTTAGTGAAAAAGTACAGATGGATTTAAAACTGAGTAGAACAAACAACCTTCTCTCCACCCTAAGAGAAGATAGGAATTACTTATTTTAATTTAAACAACTTGATTACAGAATCAAAGCTGATAGTCTGGCAAGGGCTTCACTGACAGTCAAAAGGAGGATCACAAGGAGAATGGCAATGCCAGAAGCCGTAAATCAATGTGAAATACAATATTTAAATAAAACATTATGCAGAGATGTATTTGATTCATCAGGTTTGATCTAGATGACTTCTAATACTGAAGAAACAACATAGTAAGTCAAGATTTGTGATCCAACAAATCAACATTCTGAGAAAAACAGTGTAAAATCTACAAGAGCATCTATCCTCTGATACTGCTGACCTGGTGGTTACCAGTCTACCCTGTAGTGCAGACAGGCCCCTATCCATACACAGACATGGCAAAGTCATCAGGCTTTTATGGAAATGAAAGTTTGAATATGAAGCATAGCTGAGATATAGTCCTAGTTATTACTGGGGACCAGTGTGCAAAAGAACAACATATTGTACTGGTTTCCCTAATTCAGTTGTCATTGAATGCAAACAGATATTTACAGTAAACTCAGATGATGTTTTGAAAGGAGGAGGTAAAAATCTGTAATACAGGTTAGCCTAATAGGTACATGTATGAATAGACAATAAAAGGTCTGCATAGAATTGTTAATCTTCTTCAAAGTTTTGGGTTTTTTTTTTTTCCCCATTACATTGCCTTAACTTGTTTGTAGTTAGTATTTTTCCATCCTTTTAAGTTCATGAACCTAACTGAATTACCTCTTTGGAGGTCATAGGAGGGGGCATTTCCAAAACTCTGTTTACATTCCCAACTTTGTTAGTTCAAACTGCACAAATCAGATCCAGAGTCCAGATAGCCCAAGTTAAAGGATGCCCAACTGCATTACTTTTTCTTTGCTTGTTTTGTAACCATGGGTAAAATTTGATAGTGTGCCCACTCTTGTTTAGCTCTGGGTCTTTATTTAGACCAGCAGTAGAAACTACAAATTATATGCTGGACCACGTTCATCTTTCTAAGAAGTGGATGCACACCCACTTTGCACTAAGGTTAATAAATAGTGTGACATACTCTTTGGCAGTTTACATCTTCACTTATCTCACTGCTGACTTTTGTCCAGAAGTTCCCATGGAAGTGGTATATATTTTTCTCAAACTTCTTCTGGCTCTATTTTAGCTCATGATGTTCCTTTGCTGATGACACGAATGCTTCCCCTGATTTTCCACAGGACACTTTAAAATAACCATGCCAGGACCAGTGCTTCAGTTCAGCAAACTGTACTGTGAGAACTGGTAACTAAACTGTTACTGAGACCAACCCTGCCATCATGACATTTAAGAACATCTTGAACTACATGGGTACAGTTTTAAAACATCCTGACATCATATCAGCAGTTAGCAACCAAATGCTTTCATGCTGTTTTCCACCAAAGCACAGAGACCTGTAGGAGAAACATGACCATGACAGTGAATTAACAGTATGAAAAATAAAAGTATGAATAATTACCTAGTTTTGGAAGAGAATAGCTCAAATTAAAGTACTCTTCAAAGAAGTCGAATACAATTTTTGTTACATTTGCTGCATATTCTGCTGTGTGTATTTGCAGTGGCTGGGCGTAAACTCTCAGCTGTAAAATACAGAGAGACAATTAGAGCAATCTTCAGTTGAAATAAATTAGAAGGTGGCAAGCATTGAAAAGTTGTTTAACATACACAGCTGTAACACTGCAGGTTTTCTCTAAGAGACTGGCCTGAACACTGAATTCTGTTCCCTAACACTTTTATTCAATAAAGTTTTTCAAATGTTGTACATAAAAGAAACCAGGTCAACATAACCTGTGCATGCTTTCCACAGTATGCCTAAACAGTAAAACTGGCAATACCCATGTCCAGAAGCTCACAGTGGCCAAGCTTGGAGCAGGGCCTGGGTGCATACCAGTCTCTCCTTCCCCAAGGCCTGGTTTTCTCAAGAAGGAAGCCTGCACGAGCACAATCGAAGGGAATCCACTTGTTCTGAGCAGTTCATTGATCTGGACTAATCCCATCAGACCAATCTTTAGGAGCACATCTGTCCTGAAATGTGTCTGAAGCCCATAACACCTTTTCTTCAATTTCTTCCTACCTACTATCATCATAATTTCCTCTTGTCCTTGTATGTTTGAAGATCTCAGACCCTTTGAAGACAGTGTGTCTACCAGATCTGTAACTATTCCCAGACATGCTGGCCCATGGAGGTCCAAATGGCTGTTTGCCCAGGACCTCAGGTCATACAGCCACCCAGTCACAGCTATGGTGCCTGCTGGGGGGTTGTGCCTCTGGAAATCCCAGACAAAAATCAGCTCTCTCTTCCCACTAGGTAGGTCCAGGAAAACTGGCATGTTTGGTAGCCCTGTGTGTGATGAGTGACCATTTCTCTGCTCCTCTGGCATATCTGTGCATGCTTTTTTTCCTGAACGCAATTAATGGTGTGTTGAGTGCTGATCTTTCCATTCCTGAGGCTTGGTGCCTGGGACTGCTTTGGCTATTACTGTCAAGCAGTAGGAAACCTCAAGCCCTGGACGACTAGTGTCTTTATGGCACCCATAACCATGATGAGGAGGCCTACAGCTTGAAAAAGCTTTTTGGGATGTTATCTCCACATCATGAAGACAAAGTTTGACTTCAGAATTTATGGAGTCTTTTGGGGGTCTTTCCCTTAATCTCTTTGTCCCAAAGCTCATACAAATCTCTGCGCCAGAGCAGAGCCATAGCACTGGAGTGTCCACTGGCAAGAGCTGTAGGCTCTTCTCTTCACTGTTGCCCAAAATCTCCAGTGTGGAAAGTAAGAGATCTTTATATGGAGTGAAGTTTCTGACTTTAGGAAAACCGATCCATCTCATTTTGCAGGCTCTGCATCTCTTATGAATGGGCCACATTCTTCTGGCTGAGCTGGTGTGGCTTGTTTACTCCTCAATGCTGTCTTACAGCCAGGAGTTTAGGGTCCAAACTGAGCAATGAAGCTGGCCTACTCTAGGAGCCCTCTTGGAGCCTGACAACACATTGATTTCAATACCATAAAATTACACTTCCTCCAACAAGAGGGGAGGATGGGAAAGTGGACAGAAATAAAGCTGGAATGAAAAAAACAAAACCAAAAAAAGCTTATGAAATTCAATCAGGAATCCATTCCAGCCAGGGGATTTCCCTCAGGATCAGTTTGCAATTACTATCTGCAATTTCCACTTCAGTAAGCTCTTTACCCAATTTAGCAGTCTTTGGTCCCCTAGCTGATCCATATTAATGGTTTCCAAAACCTTCAGCATGCACTAGAACTGACTTTGGGTTTCATTTGTATAATCTCCTCTGTGATTTTCCAAACCAGGCATTTGGCACCTGACAGGTAATCAGCTCAGGAGCATCGTTTCCAGCTGTAGGCACATTTCCCACCATTGATTCCATTAATGTCTTTGTTAAGGCAGCAGCTTGCAGAGCAAACAACAGAGTTTTAAAATAATTTTCTGTGTCATGTGAGCTGTACGCTGTTGCTGTTTATGAAAGCAATATATGGATCACATGTATACTTTGTGTTGGATGAGGGATTTATTGCTAGCAATTTATACAGCAAACTATAGAATGTTCTTTTCAGCAGTCAGTGAATCTAAATACCTCATTGCTCAGCTGTGCTGCAAAGTTTTTGGAAATGAGCTGTTTGATTAGGAGAAGGACTTTCTAAATATCTGACTGAAAACTCTAAAGATAGCCTGGTTTTCCTGGGGAAAAGGTAATTTTTAGTGATGGAGTTTATGTGGCTCCCTTAATTAAAAAACAATCTTACACATATATTTTACATACATATCCACGCTAAGAGAAAGGAAACGGTTAGGATTTTAACTTCACTTAAAACCCAAGTTTTCTAGTGCAGGCAAGTCCTCAGACATTGTTTAGTGAATAGCATTAATAAAATATGTAGTAACCAAGGCCTGAATTAGAAGATGTTTCTTCAGGCAACCTCTGTACTGACATGAATACCTCTGCTTCTACACACACACACACTTTAATTACCATGTTTCAGTGAACACTCCCTTCTATTTAGAAAAGCTACAACCAGTCAGGAACATTGTGGGCTTTACTGTTTTGCTTGCGGAAATAACCCAAATATTGACGTCAGAGCCATATTCTGGAGCATGGCATGGATAAGCAGAGAATGTTAACTTTTGCATCTAGAAAATAAAGAGTTTTACATATGTCTTCAGCACTTATTTTTGCCTACCGCACTATGTTCTACAAAAGCTGCACAAATTCTGATTCTTAAAATAACTAAACTTTACAGAATATCTATCAAGGCCGAATAACCAAAGTCCTGTCCCTGGTAGTGAATGGGACAGCTGCACTGAAGAGCATCTGGTTAACAAAATTGTGTGGCTGGCTGGCTTAAAACATTCTCCTGTTTTGCAAATTACTTAGCCAAACAATAGGGATCTAAGAATATTGCATCACTATCTTAAACCAGGCTCCAATTGCTTGGGTAAGTGTAATTTAGCCTTAGTTATCTGTCAAGAAGTAATATATGTGTACAGCATGATGCTAGAGAGGGTGTAGAGGAGGGATGCCTTAGCGCAGCACTGTGCCAGGAAGTCTTTGCTAAGAACTGGATCAGCACTTTGGATATTTATACGAGGCAGATTTTCACATCAGTGGACAGCCTTAAGTAGGGAAGGATTTGCTGAGCTTTTTCGGATAGAGAAACTCAGGAAGAGCTTACTTGCTAGGGGAACAGTGGTCTGGCTGGGGCTTTGCTCTAGATTCCCTGTCCATTGGCATCACTGCCTCCAGAAGAGTAGAAAAGGGCTGCCAGCTCGGCTGAACCTCAAGACCATGTGTTACACCCCTAAGAGGAAAAGAAGGGGAAGCAGCAAGAGCATACAGCCCTGGAATCACCCTTTGTCTTGCATGAAATAAATAATTAACAGTGGGTTGAGCATCCCAGACTAGGTTTAGGATAAATGGGGAGTATATATTGAGGGGCAAATTGTATTTAAGCTTTCAGGTTGTGATTCAACATAATGTCTTGTGATGTCTTTATGCCTGATCAGCTGCACCTTCAGGAGATTTGAATCTAAGTGAGAACTGGATTGGACTGCCTGTTGCATCTAAATAAAGGAGCTATTTTAATTTTATGGATTCAGATTCAAACATATGTACTTCATTAGGGCATCTACCAAATATTCAGCTGTTTAGGCAGGCACTATCACTTCTATACTTATTTGTAAAGAACTTACACTGGGCAGTTCCCTTTAGCCACTGTTGTAAAATAAATAATATTAGAGCCAATACATAATGGCACGTAGCATTGTAGTCCTATGTCTCCATGACTATAAATAGGAAGACATCAAGTGCATAGATTCACACCTTTTAACCCACAGAAAACTGTAAAGTAGTTGTATCCATGGCCTGTGAATCTCTTGTACTCCTGGATTTGTACATTCCCTCAGACTCTGGGCTTCAACTCAGGGATGAGGTTGGAGAAATAGTGCTCCTTCCTCACCCATGTGCCTGTATGGGAGGTACTGACTGGGATCTCACCAAGATGGGAGACAGGGAAGGACTGCAGAACACTGTATGTAGCCAAGGTCAGAGGGACCACTGTGAACACCCAATCTGATAAAACAGGCTGCATCAAATAGGCTATAGGAAAAGGAAAATTATGTTCCTGTTTGTATTATAAAAAGAGATGTTTCTTTTTTTTTTAAATGCAAATCACAGTACATCTGTCATCTGAACCATGTTCAGGCTGCAACAGAACTTACAGGTTTTCCACTAGCGGATATTCTCTCTGTCCACTGGAACTGGTGCACTGCAAAGCATACCAAGTAAGTGCTCATGGGAACTGACTTCTCAAAAGTTGTCCGAGTCCAGCCACTGCCCAGCTGTACAGTTTTCTGCAGAAATGGAAAAATAATTAATTTGATTTTTGGAATTGCAAACATATGCAGAACAGAGTACAATATTTCTATGAAGGCTGCAACTACATAGGAATGATAAATCACCTTTTTTGGCAACCCATTGCCAATGGCATGAGAACAGACAACACGTTTTTTCTGCAATACACAAAATGGGACTTTGTTTTTCTGCACTAAATAAGTCTACCTGGTTCTAATTTTAATCAAGGATTTGAAATCATTCACATGCACAGGAATTTTGCCAACAGGAGTTTTCCAGTGTATGCTAGTGTGTTTTGTTCTTGAAATAGTTGCACTAAATAACATCACTTTGGACAGATCAGAGAAGAGACTGGATTCTCTCCTCTCTTAAGTACATGTGTCATGTAGGAGCCAGAGATTGCTGGGATGCTACTTAGAACCAGTCTAATGAATCTGTCCTGAACTCATTCAGATACAAATTAGCATTGCTAATTCGTGGATTGTTTAATCCTACATAAGGTTTAGTACTGCTTATAGTTTTTATTTTGTAAATCAGTTAAAAACCATTCCTGATTTTCCCAAATGTCCTTAACTCTCAGCTGAACTATATGACCAGACCTGCAACCTGTTGTGTGTGATTCATCCTCTAAATACTTATTTCTGCTATTATCTGCTATTGCCTGTCTGATAATTATTTTGTGCTTCTGACTGGATGACTAACTTAAATAGGACAAAAGCAAACAGCATGTAAAAGACATTAACCTTCTTCTAGAGATATAATACTTCATAAGATTTGTTTGTTATAAATACAATATAAATAAAGCACAAAAAATGAATCTTACAGGTAATATGATTCCATGAGCAAAAAACACTTTTCATGGATATTCACAAACCCTTTTTCATAGAGATAATTGCAAACTACTTTTCCATTATTTGACTCATTTTGACTCTATTTTGATATCTTTTTCTTTCAACAAAGTCAGGACTTCAGTGGAAAAAAAGTTTAAAAAAATTCACTCCAGTGAAAAATGCAAACGAAATGTACAAGATTCTGATTTTGCTGTGTAGATTATAAAGTTCCACACCACCAAAACTACTACAGGACATGTAAATGTAACACACAACGTGCTTTGCATTTACAAACTATTACATTTCCATCTGTTGAAAAGATTTCCCAAAGATCTTTCACTACTAAGAACAGAGCTACTGACCTTGTGAGTGCACCAGATGAAAAAGTGCCCTGCTATCATCCATTAGTCAAACCTGAGTATGAACCCAGTATAACCTACATTTCCCTGACTGTACTTGGATTTTAGCAAATTAATTAACAAGCAGTAGCTAGCTCTTTGAAAGCTTATTTTTGTCTGTTCATACTAGAGGCAAGGTCCACATGTAAAGGTGTAAAGTAAATCCCCAAACCCACTAAATCTTGGCAAGATCTAGTCTCATCCCCTCATCTTTCTTGCCAGTACCCTCTCTTATTTGAGGTCTGTGAAGAAAGGTATGGCAAACACTCTCCTTTCCCGTGTTTTTCATCAAACTGCCTGGTGCTCTTTTAGGTATCATAGAAGTATTTTTAATAACAATGGGTTAGAGCTTTAAATTTGCAAAGAGTCTGGGAGGCAGCTGTATTGGATTGGTAATAGTTCTTTCAGATGCATTGCTAGGGGATAGTTAAGGTTTGGGGGACTCTTTAAATAAAACAGTACACAGTAAAGCAGACCTTTGTTTTCTGGGTGGGGGAGTGATTGGGAAGATGCAAATGTCAACAGCCTGGAGGCTGGAAGCTCTTTTTTTCTTTTTTATTTTTTTTTTTTAAACTTGGCACTTTATCTCCCCCTTCAGAACATATTCATTAGAAATTATACATTGGACTACATATTCAGTTAAACTATTCATTAGAATCTCTCTCAGCTGAAAGCCATTCAATCTTCTTCCAGAGGGCCCAGAGGTAGTTAATTGATGCTATTGAATTTTGTACAAAACTTGGAATTTGACCCACCAGATCCAGAAATAGATTATTTAGGAAATTACACTCATGGTGAACTGACAAGTGTCCACACCCATGAGCTGACAGATGGGTTTTCAGATCCTGTATTATTAAAAATAATAATCCTAGGCTTTCTTGCTAGCAGGATCCTTTGCCATTAGATTGTGATCAGCAGACCCTTGCTTTGGACCATTATGTAGTTTCAGTGATTATTTTAGACTTCCCATCTGGGAAGCAGTTGTCTTCCAGAGAATTTCTTCTCAGAGTCTACCTGGTTTCGCTGAAGAACCTGCATATACCTATTTATAGTTAGTAGGGGATGCTCATCTAGAATATTTGAATAGAGGACCAGCTACCTAAAGACAGAAGAGATGTTTCATTTCTGCTTTGGATTTGGCTCTCTATTGCCATGTTTTGTGCTGGTGGACCACTGGGAGTCCTAACCAGCCAACCAGTCCTGTTTTATGGAATACTTATTAACCATTAACTTTACAGTGTCTGTGTGGTAGAGTCTGTGAACGTACAGGGAACTTGCGATCCATGCTACCCTTCCAGTGGCTTTACAGAGCCATTCCACTTAGGCAGCAGAGTTGGGAAGTACATACCTGTACTGGCATGTTTGAAAGTGCTTGGTACGCATCTTGATGTACAATAGATATGTTGTAAGTCGCCTTTTTGTTGGGCTCGTCAAAGCAAGGAAATGATTTCCGTGCATCTGTTGGCTCATGATCAGTAGCTGCAATGCTCCTTAAACAAACAACACATTGGCAAGCCTTCATTATATATCTTTTAAACCTTGTCTGCAATTTCTAAGCATAACTTTTTAGCAGTTTCACAAACTAAAGTCAACTACAAATATTTGTGTGTACTTGTCCATTTACAAAAGTAGGTGACATCAGAAATGCACAGGCTGACATCATACAGGTATTTTTAACACATATACCTCCAAGTTTGCCATCAGCATCCTCTAGGTTTCACAGCAAAAGCTAAAGCAAATTGCTTATCATCAAACATTTTTAGGAGACAGCCAATATGATAGGAATGACCCCTAATGGATGGCAAAAGTTTTGCTCACCTTCCTGATGAGCTTTCCCATTGATTTATGTGCCTAAAATAAACTACTGATGGTATCATCTGAAAGGAAATTAAGATCCTGATATGGGGACGCTTACTTAAGTCACTCCATGTGTTGTTTACCCACTAGAGCATATCTTGGGATTGGAGTCTTCAACATCTCCTGAGAAGACACCTCGGAATTTTGTAAGTGCCCGTAAAATCTCATCCTGCTTGTGTGTTTCTTTTTGTGCAGTTACCATGTACAGTTTTCTGCTGGTGCTGTTATGCTCTCCTGACTCCATTAATGAAACTGCTGGAGAAAGCATGGGAAGTTCAGGTGAATATCCTAGTACGTAACTGATGCTATGGTAGCTGTGTTGGAGGATTTAGAAAGTCATGTGAGTTATGCAAAAACAGCTGGAGGAGCTAGACAATAGGGGTCATGTAAAAAAATAAGGTGAAGGTTGTGAACGTTCATATCGTGCTTGCTTCTGCTCCAACTATATTAAGCTAGTTTTTCTTTCCAAAAAGTAATTAAGACTGTACATCATAAATTACAGATCTGCAGCAATCCTACAAGCTCACTTGACAACCAATTTTTCAATGTTTCTCTTGCCCTTGGCATTTCCCTGTGACGGTTAAATACTAAACTGGTCATTAGGAACTTGTAGCAGCAAGGGTCATTTACAAGCCTGATTGGAGGTAATATGTCTGGGTTCTTACCATTCATGTTCATTGGAATAGTAACTCAAAAGTTCATGGGTAGACAGCATAATGAACACTCACCTTAACATAACTTCAGGCTCAACAGAGTTTCTTTTGCTTGGTAAATTGTTTGATGTTGCTCTTTACTTTTTGTAGGATTTGAAAGCTATTTCACAATTAAGTTAACTTCAAGTCCCCAGGGCAATGCTTCACAGCTATTGCTTAAAAAAATGGCTATATATTTTGACACATTTGTATCTTGTTCCTACAGACTGATAACACTGTGATATTTCTGTTGTTTTATAAGGTGATAATCCATCTATCCTCATATATTTGTGGATGCATATAGACATCAGCAGTGCAAAACTTTAGCACTACCATTCCTATGGGGTAGATGATGAGAGCTCCAGGCTATGGCATGCATAGAAGTGGCACTAGAAACATGAAATGTTGTAATTTCCTTTCAAACTGTATAATGTAGTTTTTAGATAAGATTTTCTTCACTGCGTGGTGGCTTCTGCCCTTCTCTTTGCTGTTAATGTCCAGATCTTTAAATATGAACTAGAGGTGACAATTGTAAATATCATCGAATTGAAGATCTGGCTGGAGCTGCATCCAGCTGTTGTTCCCAAAATAAAACAGCACTGCATTTAGAACCATGATGAATTTCCCGCCCTCCCTTTTATTTTTTCCCAAAGCACAGGGGGTTAGTGGAAAAACCCCTCCCCTTGAGCTAATTAAAGCATTTTTCTCCTAGTCTTTCCCTAAATTCAGATCCATTGCTTCTTCTGAGAAAATTTTCTCCTTGAGGAAGAAATCCAGCAGTGCTACTTCTGTACACTAAAGAATATTTTTGCCTTTCCCAAATCAATAAAATCCTAAATGCCAGTTTCCCTGTTAGAGATGTGCCCAGCCAAGTATCTTTTATAAGCTTCTTGTTCTCCTCTTACAGAGGACAGAGAGAATTCCTATAAAAGGGAAGCTATACCTTGTCACTAACAGTAATCAGCAAAATCAAAAACAGCTGCTGTGACATGTTTTTATCATCTGTAATATTAAGGAGAAAATAAAAGTGGGTTTTAGCACACTCCTTGAGAGGCACTAATGAGTTAAAAGAACCCATTACAGCACGCAAGGACTCTTGTTGTGCTCCTTTCCCTAATACCTGAAAATAACACAGTTGTAACATATTTATGCTCACTGCATCATGCAAAGTAGGGAAGGACTGCTATTCCCCTTTCATAAATGGGGAAATGAAATGCACAGACAGAGAAATAGCTTTACCAAAGTACCTCGGTGCTTACAGCTGGATTCAGGCACCCACAGGAGGATCTAGGCAGGTCTATGTATAAAATCTGCGTTCTCAAAGTTCCTGCTTTCCTGCTCCACACCCTCACATGCAAATGAGGTGTTCTTCTCCCTAAGCCTCCCATGGATCCCAGACTTGCAGGCATGTTCAGCACGTGTCTACCTGTTTTCTACAAAATGTAGTGGGAGATTTCAATCTAAGCAACAGCAGACCCTGGACATGTGCCCAGTTTGTAAACAAAAGGCATTATAGCAATGCTTTGGCAAACCTTTGCCTTCACAGATAGACAGCTGGGGAGAAGCTCAGCCCTGGAAGCTGACTTTCCAGCGTTACTAATTTTCTCAAAAAGTCCCACTGCTTCTAACACTGCCCAGAAGGGATGGGGGAGTAGGTTAATTACATGTTGGCTCTCATTTTCACCTCAGCCCCCTTCTTCTGCTATTAATTGACTTGCTTGACTTTTGCTATTTCCTGATCCGATTTGTACTTACTTACAACATGACAAAAAAAGGAACTATTTGGGTTGAAATTTTCCAAGGGTGATGTCTGCCTCAGGCAAAGGTGAAATAAAAAAGATAATTCTGGTCAGCATTGTTTTTGAGTAGAAAGCCAGGGCAAAATGCAGTTTTAATAAGGAATAAAACCCTTCCCTTGTCATCCTTCCTCACCCCATCCTATCATCTACCCTCATGCCACATAGCAGCAACTTGGCTGGCGGTTGCAGCACCACTTGGCTGGTGGTGGTTTTCATGTCAAAGCTGTACGTATCACTATCATGTACATCGCCTCTTCCACCCCCACAAACAATCTGCCCAGACCTAAACACATGAAAAGCATTTCAGAAATCACCATTCACTCATTCTTATTAGAGCCCTTCTCAAGCCTAACAAACAAATTTACACACTCAAGTTCCTCTCTGTATTGAGTGTTTTCAGACTGCTGGCTGGGACCATCCTTGCAATTATACCTTCCAGCATCCAAATCAAGAAGTAAGAACCTTCTTAAAGTGAGCTCACATTTTATGCTTTCTTTAGCTTATGAAGTTCTCCTTCTTTCCTGATGTCAGATGCTTGGTCCTTGTCTGGATCTGAGGGATGGGCACTCACCTTTCCTGCTCTGTGACTCAGGAGACCTGCATTCTGGTCCTGCTGTTCTGGTGTTGTGACAGATCTGTTAATTTAATATCTAGGTAGCCTTCGCCAATAAAAAGGAAGTAACACACCTCAACTTAGAGACATGTTAACAGGTTACACTTTAAAACTGCTGTGGGGATGTCAGATGCTCAAAGTGTCAAACCAAAGCACCTTCCAAGTCAGAGCAATACTGAGATGGTAGATGGAGGAAAACAAGAGGGAAAGAGCTGGCTGGGGTTAAAGCTGTTCTCTACATGGCTTCTTCCCAGATCAGGTAACTATGTTTAAGTATGAAAAATCAATGCTTGCTTTTTCCTCTGCCTCTTAGATTTGCTGCTGCTGGTGCCTGTCACTGCTGCTACTCCTGGCATTGCCTGTCAGCAGTTGAATGGAGCTGATACGACTCTCATTCATGACACCATTGTCCCAGGAGGGCAAACAAGTGCCGTGAAAACATACTAGTGTTTGTCTCCATGCTCCTGCTACAGGGCCTTGGAAAAGTCTAGCCAAGTTTATCTTCTAGCTGTAAAGGCTGGAATGAGTCACTTCAGAAATGTAAATATTGGAAAACAGATGAGTGTCCTCTCCATAGGTTAACTGCAAAGAAATGCTTCTGAGCAGTGGGCAATGGCTTTTTCAAAAGCTTCCACCTTGAAGTAGTGCAAACCTGGGAAGTGGAATGGGTTAATTGAACTGGCAGAGGCTTTGTAATCTTTCAATAACTAGTGATATATTAAAAAGGAAGAGCTGTAGCACAAAAAACCCAAGTCAAAGATAACTTCATTGTTTGGACTTCCTACCCATAATTTAAACCAGCTGCAGGAGGGACAGGGAAGTGCTGGTTTGGATATTCCTCAGGCTTACAACATCAAGGAGGCATCATGTCAGGAAAACTATCATAAGAGCATTTTACACCAAAACTGTTACCTTGGGGAGTGACAGAAGAGAGTGGTGAGAGCTGTATGCTATTTATTGTACTACAGAGATAAAAACAGGCCTCGATCCCTTCAGCTCTCTGAGGGAGCCATTCATAAAGCTCAAAGATAACCTGGGATCAGTAGAATTTGAAAAAGTTTTTCAGAATAATAATAACAAACCCCTCATCTCTCCTGCCCACATTCACTTGTCAACAGCCAAAGGATTTTGAATACAGCATCTTCCTTAGGGGAATGAGAAAATTAAAGAACAGCCCAGAATGTCAGCAAGTTGGTGAGAAACAAGACTGAGAACCTGAAACAGAAATAAAGCAGGCCTGAGCAAGTAGAAATAGAGAAGAAGGTTTAATAAATAAAAGAAAAACTGCTTTACTTGATCTGTCCATTCTCAGTGTAGGTGGTCCTATAAAACCCAACCAGGGAACCATTCAGCCAGCCTTGAAACTTCAGAGTGAGTATATAGGGATCACTTTCATCAGTGACAGAGAGTTCTGCTTCTGCCTTCATCACTATGTACTCTTGTGGCTTGTACCCAAAGCAGTCGTTCAGAGCAATCTGCTGTCCTGAGGATTTCCGGAGTGTAGGCATTTCTGTAATCTTGGTCTCTCGCAGGTGGAGCCATAGGTAGCTGGTAGATTTTTCCAAAGCAATAGAAATACTGACTGTCCCAGTGTAAATGTCTGTCTCCATTTCAGGCTTCATTTCCAGATCATAGTGCACAGGCTTGATATAAGTGGGTAGCCTAAAATGTCTCCAGTCTCCAGTCCCATCATTTTTAGGAGGACAGGGACCCAAATCCACTGGGGGAGGAGGGTTTGTTGGCTGATCTGTTCCCCCTGAAGGTTGCTGAGATTTAGGTCTGCTCAATCCCACGCCAAGCCCCACTGCAAGACCTACAATGACCACAACACCACAGATGACAGCCACGTGCTTTGTCTTCATGCAGTACCTCTTGGACTTCTCATCCTCAAAATCCATGCCCTCCATCTCTGCTCCTGGGTCTGTTCTCAGAGCAAAACATTAACTGTAAAAAAGCTTGTTAGTCACTTCAGCACTTGCATTCAGTAAACTCAGCAGACGGTTTGTATTTTAATTGTGCAGCTATAGCTGTTCTCTGCCCGTCTCCCCCACCTCGCTTTCCACGAGACAGTCAATTAATTAAAGACAACATGCATTTGGAGGAAATGTGAATGATCAAAAGGAGTGCAGCTGGGCTGGGAGACGGAGGGAACTGACACAGAAGAACATTGTTCCTGCCGTGCTCCCCTTATAAGCAGCGCAACCCCACCCCCAGCCCCTCCTGCTCTAGCCTGAGTTAAATATAAAACAGTGCTATGTTAATCAGCAGTTAGGAGATGATCAGATGCCAAAGCCCTGTCAGCAGTGGTCAGAAAGAGTTTGCAGATAGAGATGTAACTGCTCCAAACCCTCAACCTTTGCCACTACCTCTTCCTTTTCTTCCCCTGCTGTGTCTTGTTTAGGTTTTTGAGGTTTGGGGTTTTTTTACTTTTTCCTCTTACTAGCAAAGGTTTCCTTGAACTTCCACCCTATAGTTTGTGAAATGACATCTCCAAAGTCTCAAAAATCCAGCAAAAATCATATACATCTTTCAAGGCCTTTTCAACTCTTTCCCCTCTTTTCCAGGCTCATTTACCTTTGCTGAGTAATTTGAGGCAGTCACGGGCAGAAGAATGCACAATGGAGCAATAAATTTTGATGACTGACTTCGAACTTTAAACCATGTCCAATTCCTCTCCCCCTCATAAGGCCAGTTTTCCAGGAGATTGCTCATAACCATGCATGCAAGCTGGTAGCCTGGGATAACATTGCCGTGTTGGTCAGCACAGTTACAGCACTGCCTGTGAACCCTTGCTGCAAGGGACACTTCTAAATATGCAGTTATATGATTTATGTACTAAAGATCTAATTTAGCATTTACTGTATGTCATCACGATGTGGCACTTCATCAAAACAAATTAATTTAATAGAGTCTGATTCTGCTTGGGGGAGCTTGGTGTAAGTAAGACCTTGCTAGCCTGCAAGCGAGATGTTGCTAATGCAGTATGAAACTGAGTACAGCAGTAGTCTTGACCTTGTTTGATGCTGAACTGAAGGAACACTGTAGAACAGAAACCTCAGTCCCTGTATCTCTTAACCCTTTTTCTCTACTTACGGATCCCACTTGAGTGGATTGGATTTTTAATCAGGCACATCAGTTTGGCTTCATGCCTCCTGTTTTAGTTTATCAGGTGACAGATTAACATCACTCTTCACATCAGTTACAACTCTCTGATGACTTAGCCTCTTCTTTTTTTTTTTTTTTTTTTTTTTTTTTTTTCTTGTGGTGGATGAAGTTTCACCTGGATGGGTTGACTTATGCCCTAGAATCAGTTAACACATGTTCTGAGTGAGATGCACTGAATCAAAGAGGGAGCTTTTCCAGGACAGTCTATTTAGAAATGGATCTGCTCACAAGGTTTGTACGTCTCCCTTTGAAATATCGCCAGCCACCACGGGGAACTTTAGCCACCCAGTCTGCATCAGCATCTTTACAGCACACTACTATTTATATAGCATCTTGTTTTAACGGCAAGGTTTTCCAACAGGAATTGAGAAAAGAAAAGTTCTTTTTCGCAGAGCATCAAGTTAACTCTTACTCAGATATTTTCAAAGTGAAAAACCAATGTAGAAAAAAAATTAAGCAGAAAGCTAAAAATCTGTTTCACATTATGTCTCTTTTTATTGTTTCCCATTTCTCTGCTGTGATCAAAACTAGATATGACATGGAAAACCAGTGCCTTTTAATGGATTGGATAAGAATTTAACTTCTAGCAACAGAGCCAGCATTGAAGATCATGGTCTTAACATTTAAAATCATTTCAGCTCTTTTGTTTTTATTGAACAGGACAAGGAAAAAGAGCGAGAGTAGATTTTAAATAAGACATCTGAAGCCAGAGCAGGCCATAAGTGATGAGATAGTAAATATATCTTGATTTCAGGCATGCTTTTTACATCACTCCCATTTTCATTCTCCTTAGCGATGAGGTTTTTCTGTTACATTTTTAATCTGAAGGTGAAAAATGGTCTTTGAGCTTATAGACTTCAGAGCAGATTATTTACTCTAATTATGAAGAGACTTGCAGATTTCTTTACTGGTAACAACTACATCCTTCAGGAAGAACTAGAAAACATATGTGGATGAGGTGGTCCTAAACAGCAAAAATATATGTATTTCTTATCCTAAGCCTTAAAAACAACACTAGCAGTAAAAGCCATTACAAGCTAATGAGGAGCAACAAATGAATCAGCTCAACAAGTAGCAGAGATTATTGGTGTCTTCTGCTAGTCAAGAGCAGTAGTGCAGTTATATGCAAGCTCTAGCATGGATCTTCTCTTTATAAAAACTGAGTTTCAAGCCTAGTTGCTGCCAAAAATAGCTATAATATATTTCTGATAGTGGTAGTTATGAGCAGACTTATCCCTCCCATATCAGAAATATGCATTGTTCCTAGCTGACACCACTGGGGTCAGCTAGCAGCACTAAGAAGGTCCCTAGCTGCCAGTGACCCAATATACATGTCCAAGGACAAGACAGGGCTCAAATTGTTAATTCCTCTACACAGGAGCAATAAAGGAGGGCAGAGCTCCCAAAGGCAATGCCAGTACTCTCCCTGCTTGGCTGTATGCAGGTAGAAAGGGGCAGGGAACACGGTCTGCCTCCCCAGAGAGGAAAGCACTATGGCTTTCATCAACAAGGTATATATGCTTTGTCTACCCTCTCCCCATGGGCATAAGATGATGAATCCCCATACGGAAAGTGGAAGAAAGCTCACCCCAACCTGCTCTAGCATAAACCACAAGCATGACTGCAGGCAAGTGCTGACCAAGCTTGGAGGGGTTTAAATTGCTTTAGTTTAGTTTCTAGAAAACTGAAAAGAGATTAAAACAATCTTATCAGTCACCTGGACAATGCTAACACCTGCTATCATTTGTTTGGTGTTGATTTTTAATTGAAGCAATTTCACCTTAAGTTAGGATTTAGTTCTGTCTGCACCAGAATTACCACACTAGCTTAACCCTGCCCCTTTGGCTACCTAAAATGGAGGGGCATATGAAGTCACCCTGTTCTGTTATGACATTGCTGGTGGGGACATGCATGTGCCTGTAGGAGTAATATCCAGATATCTTTTCAGACAACTACAAGGAATATAATGAATCCTAATTTTTATCCCTGAACTGCCAGCCATTCATTTCCCATATAATTTCCAATTTTAAGTTCAGAAAATGGAATAAAATTTCTGCAAGTGACAGCCAGGATCAGTGCTAGCACAGACCTGCTGTAGGCATTTGGGGAGAAGTCACATAGTCCCAGGAAATCCTTAACTGAAGCTGACAATTAATAAAGAGCTGCTCTGGAAAGCATCAAAGACATGGAAATAAATGAAGTCTATTAAAAAAAAAAAGAAAAAAAAAACCCTCCATGCAATTCAACAAATGAAATTCCTCTGAGCCAAGTCCATCCTTGGAATAACATGAAACACTTACTGGGCCTATGCCAACGTGGTCTTTGGCTCCCTGTGTCCAGGGACATTAAGGCAACATGAGGGCAGCAGGGTCTAAGGACCTCTGATTTCCTTCTGTTCTCTGAGCTGCCCCTACTATGAGATTTAGGGATAATAAATTGAGCCTCTCGGCCTCCATCAGGAGGAATTTGGCTCTTTTTATGCTAAACTAACACTCCTTGTTAGATTTGTTGTTGCAAAAAAAAAAAAAAAGAAGGCATGAAGCAATCTGCTTTAGTGACTGCTTTCTGGCAGAACTGCAATTGAAGACTTCTCCCTGTGGCCCTCTACCAAAAAAAAGTTTAGGACATTAATTTGAGAAATGTGAAACTGATTGTGGTGTTCCACCAGGTCACAAATGAACTGTGTCAGAACTAATTCCTTTGTCCAGTGTTTTCCTATGTCTGTAATGACTGATTTTGTCTCTATCTTTGGCTTTGAACACCCTCTAGCAATCATTAATCCCCTAGAGTTCACGAGTCTCACTAATTACTGGCTTGCACTGGTCCTTGTTCCACTCACAATCTTTTCTTTGACAGTTTTTAACTACAAACCAAGTCCTTTTGGGTTTGTGTTGTTTGGAAATGCAAATGTATTAGACTGATTTGAGAGAGACAGTCAGGATTTCTTCAGTCATAATTGTTTCCCCATTTAGATCTTTGAAATCTGGCCCCAGCTGTGGGGCACTGTTGGCTGCTGTGCCCTGGGAGGACTGCGTTATTTCCTGCGGCAGACTGATGAGCTCTGTATATAACATGCTGGTTGAAGTGCAGTGCAGTCCCACCACTTATTCTGGGTTCTGCTGTGCTCCCCCAGCAGGTCAGTGCTGGATGTTTTGTTCATCACTAGCGTCAAGGCTGAAGGTAGTTACCTCAAAGCTTCTTCACAAGGAAGTACTCTGAGTTACCCTTAGCAGAGACTTTATTTCCTTCCTTTCTTTTTTTTCCTGTTTCAAATTCCTGGATGTAGATTCCGTGCCTCAAAATGTGAATGTAATCTCATACTATTTGTGCAAACAAAGCAAGTCCATTTGCTTTGCTATACTGTATCAAGTCATATCTTATCTTATCTTATCATTTAATCTGCCGCTGCATTGCTACCAAGATGAGCTTGCTTGGGTTCCATCATTCTAATTATTAACGTTTGATACAAAACCAGAATAGTCTGGATGCTGGTGAATACAGTTCCAACTTTCCAATTCTAATGTATTTTATTATTTTTACATTTTAGTATCCTATTTCTTGTCAACACTGGTCATTACAATAGTTACAGTTTATGGCTCTGCACTTCAAAGTCTAGCTTCCAATATGAAATTTCCTTTTTGTCTTTAAAAACATGCCTGAGGAGAGTTCTACTGCATCAACAAAATACAATTTAACTTATATGGACATTTTGTCAAACTCGCTCAATATACATTGTGTTTAAAAACTTCCTAAGCAAAAGTGAGAAAAGCAACAAGCTTTTACAGTGTAACCTCTAGGATAGAAGAAGGGTCGAAGGGAGGATCCAGGGAAGGACAGGCCTGTCAGCTTGACCTCAGTACTGGGGAAGATTATGGGACAGTTCGTCTTGAGAATGCTCACATGGCATGTGCAGGACAACCAGGGGATCAGGCCCAGTCAGCATGGGTTTAAGAAAGTCAGGTCCTGCTTGACCAACCTGAT